CATTCACTAGAAAGTTCATTCCAATTCCACCATTGGTTTCTTCACCCAAAATACCCACCAAGGCTGTGCCTGGCTGAGGGCCACACGATGAAACGGGCCTCTTCTTCTTTTAATTACTTGCCAGTGAGGAGAGGATGAGGAGGACAGCACAGTACAAGGAAGAGACGCTTTGGGTGAGAGCAGGAGTGGAGGCTGCATGGGAGAGGAGAGCAGGAGGGGAGCGTGTGGGAAACATGTCTTTCAGAGGAAAACCTGCCTGAGAGCCAGATAAGGCAGGGGGTGAGCGATCCCATCTCCCACTGAGGAAAAGTTTGTACAGAGAGTCTGAGGGGGTCCCTGGGAGAATATCAGAGCTAAGCGGGGCTGGCTACAGTGGTCAGGGTGGACAGTGATGTGGGAAAAGTCAGCGTCTGTCTCAGGCTACCATGAAGACCTGGCTCTTCTTTCCCGTTTCATTACTTTTTACAATGGAAATTTCTAAGCATAATCCCAAGTTGAGAGCTTGTTGGGAAGGCAGTCTGAGCTTACAGACAGAATGGAATGCTGGGCGCCTGCACGATGGAGCAGCAGGTAGAGACATGTGTTGCCAAGCCTGATGACCTGAGTTCTATCCCCGGGATCCTCATGGTGGAAGGAGAGAAGACACCCACAAGTTGTTCTCTGACCTCCACGTTCATGCTGTCACACACACACACACACACACACACACACACACACACACACACATACGTACATACACACATGTACACACAGACATGCATACTCACACATAGTAAACAAAATATTGAGCAAACATATAGGTAAGAAGATTAAAGGTGAGGTGGAAAGATGGCTCAGCAGACAAAGGCACCTGCAGCCAAGGCTGATAAGCTGAGTCAGTCCCGTAGACCTGAAGCCTGTGTAGAGCAAGGAGAACATCGATGCCACAGAGTTGCCCTCTGACTGACACATGCTGGCTGTGGCTCTTCCACATACACACGCACAAATAAATAATGTTATTATTTCGTTTTAAGATTAAATGAGTCAAGGTGTGGCAGGGCATGCCTCTAATCCCAGCATCCAGAAAGCAGAGGTAGGCAGATCTCTGTAATCTCAAGGCCACTTGGCGTCTATAGTGAGTTCCAGTTCAGCCAGGGTGGTGTAGTAAGATGTCTCAAAAAAAAAAAAAAAATTAAATGAAAAATTCCTCAGATCTGGCTTCCTAAACACAGCCATGCAGCAGGGAGCTCTGTCCTTGTTCTCCAGCCCTGATGACTAAACCCTCATGCATTCCTGGACTGGCTACCTTGATTTTCTGGCAATCTAGTTTCAGGCCTACTACTAAGTACTAGGCTGTGCTTAGTACTTAGTTTTCTTGTGTCCTGCCACAGCTGAGTGGGTAGAGGCCTTTGCACGCACCACAGTGACCGAGTTGTTTTGGGTGACAGTAACCTGTCAGAAGAATGCGCCATGCTGCCTAATAGGGCTTCCAAAAATAAACAGAATGGCTAATCTGGGTGTGAGGTTGGTGTATGCTGCTCCAGACTTCAGCAATCTGTGTAGGGTCGTCACTGTGTCCCTTCTCGGTAATAAGGCATATTAATAGATGCATGCTATGTGCAAAACCTTAGTGCTAACAAAGGCCACAATTCCTTGAAGATGGGTGTATTGGTAAAATGACAACTTAGCATGCACAAGGTTTCACATTCCATCCCCAGTATCACACACACACACATGCACACACACACACACACACACACACACACACACACACACACACTGGATATAATGAAAGTAGGGAAGCCACATTTAGTTTGTTAATACCCTCCGTGAGATCTTAGGGGATTATCCTGGGTTGGAGAGTAAAGGCTGTCTGCACAGGCCTGACTATGAGACCAAGAGTGCATTTGCAGGGAACTCTCTCCTTTCCCTTCTTCCATCCATCTCCAGGTCTGTCATCCAGGGAGGTGCCTTTGACCTGGAAATGTAACCCATGAGAAAGTCGCTCCTGCATTGTCCTAAAGTCATAAAATCAGGGCCACCAGCATGGTTCTCCACGTTGTGCCTCCACCCACATCCCTAGCCTCATCCCTAGGCGACAGGCTGCACAGCTGATCCTGTGGGGGAAGACTGGGGAAAGAGAGCATCAGAGCTGTGTGTTGAGGCTTCACAAGCAGGCTGGTGGGTGTTCCCTACATGGCTCACACCTCTGTGGGCCACACTCCTTCTGGTTCTTTACAAGAAGTAAGCTCAGGTGTTCTGAGACATTGACCTCTTGGCATGAATTCACAGAGCTACCCTCACCCCACACCTTGGTTCAAAAGAAACTGTTCTTTCTGAGAATGGTAGCTTATGCCTGTAGTCTCAGCCCTGAGGAGACTGGGAACAAGATTATAGGAAGAATCTGTAAAAAAAAAAAAAAAAAAAAAGGAAGAAAGAAAGGAAGGAAGGAAGGAGGAAGGGAGAAAGGGAGAAAGAAAGAAGGAAAAAAAATACTATGCTGTCTTTTTTCTCCACTCAGCTTGCCCTCATGCCCCTGCCCTGCTCTGAGGTCCCACTGATCCTCAACACTAATTCCAAGGCATGAGGCACCCCATTGTGTTATCAGCAGATGAGGAACTAGAACACTTCCTAGGCTGAGAGCCCAAGATGAGTACCCATCACTCCCTCGAACCTCTGAGTCATAAAGTGGCATTAATCTTACTGGGTGTTGGTCAACACCCCAGCTGGGCATGACCAAGGCACCCTGGGGCTTGCTTCTTGATGATACGGACTTGATAGGTTTTCAGTGTGAAGCCATCAAGTTAGGCCAAGAAGAAACCAAGCAAGGTCCCCAAAGTGGGTTGCCTACAGTTATTCTGTCATTATCCTTAGATACAGGTTTCAATGTGTTTGTCTGATGTTTCCAACATCATTGTCAGTTATGAGTCAGTTTCAACTGATTGAGATTTTGGGTTGGTTTTTTTCCATCATGAGTGGTTTGTCTGGTATTTGGGAGGAGGGATTTAAAGCAAACAAACAAACAAAAGGTCTATGTAGCTTGGTCTAGCCTCTAACCTCCCACAGAGCCAAGGAAGACCTTGTACTTCTGACTCTCCTGCCTTCATCTGCTGAGTGATTACAGGGATGTACCAACACATACATTGTATATAGTGCTAGGGGCTGCCCCTGTGCTTCATGCAGTCTAGGTATGCACTCTACCCACTGAGCTATGTCCCCAGCCCTGCCTGGTCACGTTTGATTAGATGCCAGGCATTGTGGTTTTTGCTTTGCTGAGTGCTAGATAGTTTAGAGTTTTCTTCAAGGAGGAAATTAAGGTTAGTGGTTCTGCCACTGAGGCACCCCTCCCCCCCGAGTTCTGGATGGATGCCTTGCAGATCTGCAGTCTTCAGGCTAGACAGTGGTCACTGGACACCTTTCCCTGTGTGGGGTTGCAAACGCTCCTTCCGGTCCTTTGAGGGGGCCTGCACTGTTCTTTGTCCCAGCTTACGAAATTTCCTCACATGTGTGCGCCACGGTCCTCAGGAGAATCTCTGCAGATCTGGGGGTCTTTTTCTGTGAAGCCTTATTCTTTGTAGGACTCCCTCTTGTCATCCCCAGTCAGCCTTCATGGTCAACCGGACATCTCAGTTCTAAGAGGGCCCTCCTCCCTGCTTCCTGGCTCACAAACAGCCTGTGAGCAGTAATCTGAGACAAGAGGTCTTGTCCCACCATTGCCATCTCTCAAGGCTGTGGGCTCTGCTGTCTGCTGTCTTGTAAACTCTCCTTTGTATGGTATATAGTGAGGAGGATAGCAAACCACTTGTTTGGTTTTTCAAGACTGGTTTCTCTGTGTAGCCTTGGGTGTCCTGGACTCTCTCTGTTGACCAGGATAGCCTTGAACTCACAGAAAGCCACCTGCCTCTGTCTCCCGAGTGCTGGGATTAAAGGTGTGTGCCACCCCTGCCAGGCTCGTGGCAAACTGCTAGTAATGGGCATTTCCTTCTTTGTTTGGCTCAGCTAAAAATAAACCTGCTTTCTGTGCTGAATGTGAGAATACACACCCAGAATCCAGGCACTTGGGAGGCAGAGGCAGGAAAGATCAGGAGTTAAAGGCCAGTGTTGGCTTCTAGGCAGGTTTTGCACTAGTCTGGACTATATGAGGCTCTGTCTCAAAAACAAAGATGAGGTGGGGAGATGTCTCACTCGGTAAGGTGCTTGCCTGTACAACATGAGAATCTGAGTGTGGATCCGTGGGACCCACATACAAAGCTGGGCACAGCAGCAAGCTCCTGTGTAATCCCAGTAATCCCTATGCTGGGGTCCCTGGGTCGTGCTGGCTAGCCACTCTACCCAAACTGAGCCTCAGGTTTAGTGAGAGGCCATGCCTGAACAATGAGATGGAGAGTGACTAAGGAAGGCAGGGTGGACTTCTGGCATGAACACGAATGCACACACATGCCTTGACCAGAAGCATAACTCCCTGTAATGGGTTTGAGCCGGCCTCTATTCTGCCAGATTGTAGCCTCTGACTACACAGAGGCTGAACTCAACTCACATTCCTTAACAGAGCTTTTTATTGCTGTGTCATGGCTGACTTCTGTAAACTTTCAGTTTATCTCCCATGCTATGAGAAGAATGCAGCAAAACATGTATTTTCTGTTTAGAAGTCTAATATTTCTGTCCAGTGTGCCTGTTGAGAATGTGACATGAATTCTAGTTACTGTTTAGCTTGCTACCATGTTGGAGCATGCTCAACCCCCTTCTTTCTGATTGAATTTAACGTGTAAATTCACCTACTGGGCAGCTACTTCAGAAGTTTGGACACATAGGAGTCATTGCCTTGAGGCGTGATTATATAGTAACCTGAGTAATAAAGCTATTTCCTTAAAAAAAAAAAGAATGTGACGCTAGCCAATGAAAAATGTCTTCCTCAAGTGACTTTGGAGTCACTGACAGAAAAGCCCACCCCAAAATAGTTTAGCCACCGGAAGGTGAGCGTGTGTGTGTGTGTGGGAGGAGCTTTGTCCAGCGGCCTATTGGCTCCCAGAGCCAGGGGCACTCCGCTGTCTCTGTGAGCGTTTGGAGGCGAGGCGGTCAGGTGTAGCTCCAGGACCGAGTCTGCACAGATGGCTAAACTGCTGTCTGGAGAAGGAAGTGAGGACAGAAGCTGCGGGCCAGGGAATATCCGAGAGTGAACCAGTGTGTTCACCGAGCTACCAAGTGTCCAGAAGAGGAACCGTGTGAGTGAGTGTGTGTGTCTGGTGGGGCCACTGTGCGAGCGGGACGCTGAGTGTGTCTGGCAGTGTGTGAATGTGTGTGAGCTACTTCGTGAATGGCAGCGCTGCCAGCAGGACTGTTTAAGATCCCTGCTCTGTGTGAGTGTGGGGACTCCAGCATAAGCGTGGGGAGTGTGTCTGGTGACAGCGAGGGCTAGGGAGGGCTGCAATGTACTGACTCCTCCTAACTGCCCTAGCTGATCCCTGGCTTCAGGGCACTGCTTACCCACGGGCACCAACCCTGGCACCATCCTGGCCTTCCTTCGCCACATGGTCAGTCTCAGACGCTGACAGTGGGCCGTCCTGGCCCTTCATCTGTCCCAGGAAGCCTATGTCCTGCCCTGGGTCTGCTCTGGTGGGAGGGGGGCCTAAGATGTCTTTCTTCAGCTCCTTCCTTTGGAACTGGGGCTTTGGTCTGTTCCAAACACCATTCTCTTTCGTGTGTTTTCTTTTTTTTTTCCAGTACCATTTAAACAGCTCCGCTTCTGATGGTCTGGGCAAGACATTTTCAATAGACTGTTCTAGCCCAAAGCAGGCACCTGCCCGTCAGTCCCTGCCGGCCTCATTGGGCATCAGCGCTGGGGGACAGGTAAGTGACTGCCGTCTGCAGCCCCCCCCCCCCGTTCCTCTGAAACCTCGCCTTACCATCAAGATGATTCCAGGGACTGCCTATCCCCCTCTAGACCAGTCTCACCTTTGACCTTTCTCCCAGCTGTTGCTGAACTCTGAGCTCTAAGAATTAGCTCTTGACTCTGTCTCCTGTCTGGTATGCACTGGTCACGTGACCTAGCTGTAGTGACCAGGGCATTGGCTTCACTTCCCCGGAAACATCAGGGTTTAAAAAGCTGTGTGGACACAAAGGTGCTTTCCAAGTGGAGGCCGCCACCCTTCTGCTGGCTGTGTCTTTGTTTCATGCATGTATTTTTAAATAGTAGCCTCACATCCCACAAAGTTTATGTACTATTCCACGCATTACTTCTGTATGTCTGTGTGCACCAGTGGTCACGTCAGTGTCTCCCTCTAGTTTATTTTTGTGCCAGGGTTTCTCATTAGAACTAATTCTTTTGGCTGGACTGGCTGGCTATTGAGCTACGAGGATCCAGCTGCCTCCTCGGCCCTTAGCACAGGGATTTCGGGTACCTTCACTTAGCACCACCACGCCCAACGTTTAACATGGTGCTGTGTGCATCTGAACTCAGGTCCTCCTGTGCCCACAGCAGCAAGCACTTTACCTACTGACTCCCCCAGCCCTAGGACTGCTTTTTTTAAGTAGGCGAAAACCTTGCTATTTTAGACAAAACATGTTCCCTCTGCCATTCCCCCAACGCCTGTCTGGGGAGGACCGGCTGGCCCATCTGATTGAGGCTGACTCTCCAGGGGTTGCTTTCAGTGACTGTACTTCTTCTTTCTGGCTTCTTTCTCCCCAACAGGAAGGCGCTAGCCAGCCTCCTGGCAGAGCCCAGTGAGTTTGGCTGTGACAATGGAGTTGGGTAGGAGCCCTTCGACTCCCCAAGAAGCCATTTCCCCTCTTGGTGTACTGAGTGCTGTGCCCAGAAGCTCCCCAGTGGGGAAGCTTCAAACACTTCCCATTGGGCCAGGTGCCCACCGAGGGGCCCATGGCAGCCCAGCCTCGGCAGGGGATGTCTCCTTAGGGGAGCCTAGCGGTGCCTTGAAGATCCCTAACAGGGACAGCGGGATTGACAGCCCGTCTTCCAGTGTGGCCAGCGAGAACTTCCCCTGTGAAGAGGGCAGTGAGGGCTCCCCAAGTCCTGCCATCCTGGGGCTACATCCTGAGACAGCTTCGGACAGCCGGCTCCCACAGGACACCCCCCAGGAGGAGGAAGATAGTGGCGTGGGTGAGGAGTCTGACCCCAAGACCACCCCTTCCAGGCCTGAGGAGGATGTTGGCTTGACACAGGTAAGCCTTCCTTCCTCTACACCCAACACCGGGTACTCGGACAGTGCTAGAGATTCATGGTGTGTAAACCCACACCTTGAACTCAGGAAATGTACCCACACACTCACTCCACACAGGGGAACTTCTGGGATGGAGTCTACCAGAAAAGGCCAGGTGGGGCCCCTGATACCTTGAATGTGGTTTCTTCCTCATTGGTGTGTGTGTGTGTGTGTGTGAGAGAGAGACAAACAGACAGAGACAAAGAGAGGTTTTATAGTTATTAATTCTCCTTTAAAACTTTGGTAGACTCATCAGTAAAGCCATCTTTTCTTTATCCTCTGTTGGGAGGTTTGAATTATTGATTCAATGTCTGTACTCATTGCTTTTTCCCAGATGTTTGTATTTCTTCATGGTTCAGTAGTCTTTATAGCCAAGCATTTCTGAGGATTCATTTTTTTTTTTTCTAGGTTGTAAAATTGGTTAGCACATAATTGTTCATTTTCTTATATCCTGTTTATTTTCACGTTGCCCACTGTCCCAACAGACCCTCTTCCATTCCTAGCTTCAGTACCTAGTTGTTTCTCTTTCTCTAAGGTAACCTAGATCAAGTTTGTGAGTTTTCTTGAGCCTTTCAGAAAACCGACTTTGGCTTGGTTACTCTTTTGAAATTGTTTTTCCATTCTTTGTCTTGTATCTCTGTTCTGATCTTTCTTACTTCCTTCCTTCTTCTAGCCTTGGGCTTAGCCTACTCTTTTCTAGTTTCTCAATACATACAGTTAGGTTGTTTTAAGGTTTTGTTTCTATACATATATGTTTTTTTTTTTTTTCTGGTGTGGGGATGTGTTTTTTGTTGTTGTTTTATTTTTTGTTTTTCTGGGACAGGGTTTCTCTGTGTGGCCTTGGCTGTCCTAGACTTGATTTGTAGAGCAGGCTGGCCTTGAACTCACAGCAATCCTCCTGCCTCTGCCTCCCCGAGTGCTAGGATCACAGGCATAGTGCACTGGCTCTAGTGTGGGGATGGAAGCCAGGGCCTTGTACATGATCAATGAGTGCTATGCCCCTGGGCTTTCTTTCTTTGTTTGAGTGTCTCCGTGCGTGTTTTCTCATGTGTGGGGGCAGACACGTGTGCACGTGCGGTGAGGACAGGTGTGGATATGCTTGTGCGGGCCCTAAGCCGACACTGGCCGTCCTCCTGGACCACCCTCCACTTTATTTACTGAGACACGATCTCTCCTTGAACTTACAGTGCTCCTATACGGCTAGTATAGCTAGGCAGCTTGCCCTGGGATCCCCCGCCTCTGCTTCCTGAGTATTAGTATCAGTTAATTTGCCTGTATCTGTGGATTTTCTCCATTTTTAAAACAACATTTTGAATAATTTCAGCTTTTCTGAATTTGTGATGGCTTGTTTTACGTGGCACCTGGTCTGTCCCAAGCAGTGTCTGTCACGTGTTGCACGGTTGCCATGGTGTTGTCCAAGGCCTCACTTTTGTCCCTCATTTTCCGTCTAGGTGTTCTGTCCACTTTTGAGGCTTCTAGCTATTAATTTGTTGCTGGTTAGTTCTTCATCTTCTTGGTGATTTTTTTTTTTTATCACTTTACAGTATTTTTGTAATTATTTTTTACTTTTAAAAACATGGTTCTTTACTTAGTGTGTGGAGGGTGTGGCAGTCAGAGGATAACTTTCTGGAATTGGTTCTTTCCTTTTTACCCTATAGGTCCCAGGGATTGACCTCAGGTCATCAGGTTTAGTGGCAAACCTATTTTGTTTGCTATAAATAAGGCCACTCTTTTTTTTTTGGTGGGGGGTTTGCTATTGCATGGAATATCTTCCTATCTCTCCCTAATTTCATCCTCTGTGTCCTTCTATGTAAAGATTACAGAATGAGTCTCTTGCAAAAAACGTATTTAAGGGGTTCATAGTAGTGCACACCCAAAATCCCGAAGCTTAAGTTCAGCCTCAGCTACGCTCCGTGTTTGAGGCCTCTCTGAGTTACAGGAGATCCTGTCTCAAAGCAAGACAAACAATAGAATTAATTGTTTGTTTGCTTGCTTCTTGGTGCCCAGGATCAGCGGGCCTGGCTGGGGTGGGGTGGGGGAAGGGAGAGAGACTGCCTCGCTGTGTACTGAGAGTGACGGGAACTTGCTTCATAGCCTGGCTGTCCTGTATTCTCAGTCCTCTTGCTGAGAGGCATGTGCCACCACACCGGGCTTCGTTTGTCTTTGTTCATTTGGCTTATCTATTTTTTTTTTTCCTGAGGAGTTTAGCACAGTGGCGTCATTACAGCAGGGGAGGGACATAGAAGGTAGTGCCGAACGTTGCTGTCTGTACCTCGTGACATTCCTGTGCTCTCCTTCCCTCTCACTGCCTTTCTTTGCATTTACGCCACTGTTTTGTGTAGTGATACACACTGATTCCTTCCATTTTCCCTTTGTGCATATCTGT